TCTAAATCTAACCCAAAACTGTGCATAAGACTTATATATGACTCTTAATTTCCACCTACCCCAAAGCCTAAAACCTAACCTGATGTAGCATTATTTAGTGTTGTGTAATACCAGATTTGCCAATGCTAAATAAGAGAAATTAGGCAAAAGTTGTGTGACATAGTAGGACAATTGGTAGTGAGAAGTACCTTAAGTGGACACATAAAGGTGATGGCTATTTGTTTCTCAAGCTTGGAATAAGCAGCTGAGATTAGAAGAAAAAAGTATGGGCCAGTTCAGTTCAGTGGTACAATTAATACATTCAGAGGTGTTCTAGGTCATCACTTTAGATAACTGTGATCAGGGTGTACAACAAGTATGATGTAAAAATTTGAAAGATGATGCTTATTATTGGGTTGGGGGCTTCAGCATGGTACATTGCCAGAGTTGCCAACCTACCAGAATAAAATTCAATGACATGACATCCAAATTTTATTGGCAAAGCCAAGTTTTTACTAGCATTTCCAAAAGTTAAAAAATTACAGTTTTAAGTGCAAATTGTAGTATTTAGGCTACAAACAAGTACAATATGCAATTACCAATGTGATTTAAGGTAGATATTAAATAAAAAAAATATTTCTTGTTTTACTTTTGCTATAGTAAGTAAGTAGCTCAGGGACAGGACTCAGGAGGGCAAGAAACCAGAATGGGCAGACACTTGAAATTGACCCTCACAGTGACACTGACAGCAGTGTGCAGGAATACAAATGATGATGACACCTCACTGACATGACACACCCCCTCCTGAGTCACAGTGACCATCTCTCTCCACACCAGGTGTTCCCTTCAGTCTACTCCAGTCCAAACTGCACTGACAGTCCCGATTTCGGTTTGCCCTGCTCTTGCAGAGCCACATACAAGGCTCTGGATGCTCCACTCGGCTCCCTTTCATCATAACATCACACGACACCTGCAGACACCGCCTCTGCCAGACCTGAACACACTGTAGCAGGCACTTGGATGGTCCTGCCCTGGATCCGGAACAGAAATACACATGGGCAGTTTGAAGCCAAGCATCACAGCCATATTTTTAACTGGCAACCTTTTTCTGTCACTGCCATTACTGACAAGAGAACGTTTCCTGTTTTTACTGGCTGCCAGTAAAAATACTAATGGTTGGCAACACTGTACATTGCCTTAAAATGAATAAATAAATCTAAAGCATGGATTGCTGGGGCAGTTATTATTATTATTATATAGGATTTGTAAAGCACCAATAGGTTACAAAATGAAGGCAAACAGTAAGGTAACAATACAATTTAGTGCAAAAGGAATCAGAAAACCCTGCTCTTTAGAGCTTACAATCTAAAGGGAGGGTCAAGTGATACAAAAGGTAATAGCTGTGGATGATAAGCTGGCAAAGAAAATAAGGGTCGGAAGAGATAGAGTTGTAAGTCAGACTGAAGGTACGATGAGATAGGTAAGATGATAACCAATGAAGAGTACAGTAACAAAGACCAAGCAAATGGAATTTTTTTCGGAGGCGGGGCTGGTCAATTGTATTAAAGGCAACAGAGATGTCCAAGAGAGCACTGAATAGTGACCATTAGTTTTAGACATGATTAAGTTGTGCATAAAGTTTAGGAGAGCAGTTTCTATGGAGTGCTGCAGGGTTTTAGGTTGTTAAGATTGGTGGGGTACAGAGAGGGCTTTGTAATTATGGGTGTCACGGTATAGGGGCCTGGCCAATTATAAATTCCTGCTTACTGATCTGGAGTGTCACGATATGAGTTCTCTGCCAGCCCAGTTATTAATCCCCAGGTATTAATTCCTTTATTAATCCCTCCTGGCCATAGGAAGAGCCTCCTCCAATTAGTATTCACTCCTGTGTGCCAAAGGCCCCTATCTGTAATTAACTCGCCCCTCCACAAAAGGTCCCACATTCAATTAGTGTATACATCCCTAATTAGTGCCTTACTTTTGTATTAATGTATTTTCCCCCACTGTTACACTGTTTACAGCTGCAAATCCAATTATCCTGTTTCAGTGTCCATCCTGTTCACCCAGGATGCCTAATTATAATATCCTCCCCACTAATTAGTGCCTTACTTTTGTATTAATGTATTTCCCCCACTAATTATCCTGTCCAACCAGTCTTTTCTGTTTACAGCCACAAATTAAATTACCATAGTTCCATTCCTGTCCATTCTCTTCATTGTCACCTAATGACCCCCGTCTGCCTCTTGTCCTGCTCTGGGGGTTTAAGAGGTCAGTGCTGGCCTCTCTTGTGGAACCATTTTGCTGGGCAACCACTGAGGGGTCCAGCTGGACTCTAGTGGCCCCCCGGCTCTGCCTGAGCCCCATTGGAGGAAGGGAGATCCCAGAAGCTACATCAGCCCTGCCTGGAACGCTGTCAGCTCTGCCTGAGACTATTGCATCAACTTTGCGTGAGTGTATGCTTCCCTTGTGCTATCTGACTGCTTATGAACTGCCTCTTGGATGACAAATTGCTGTAGAGACTTTAACTTTGCCCACCGGGGCTGGATTACAAGTATTTTGGACTCTCTCTCCCTGCACTACTCCCCATTGAGTGACTGTTGTCTGTTTTAATAAAGCTTTAAGTGTTTGCCGTCTGCATTGTGTGTTCTGTCCCGCTTACCCTCCATCACAATGGGGCTTACCAGGACCTAGTTTATAGGGTTGGGGGAAGATGAAAGTACAAAGGGGGATATTGAAGATGTAGGATGGAGCAAAAATAGTATTTTAAAGGGAATGGGGTCCAGGGGGTAGGTTAACAGGTGGGCATTATAAAAAAAGTTTAAGGACTTCCTCTATAGTAGCAGGATTAAAGGAGAGAAGTATTGAGTGTGCAGGTGGACATGGAATGCTAGGTGGGGGGAGATATCTGTACAGTGGAGATTGTACCATGAATTGCCTCAAAAAATAAAATAATAATAAAAATAATAATAATAAATTAACATTTTTTTCTACTTGCAAAAAGATGTGCATTTATTATTTTTTTTGAAAAGGTGAACTTATCCTTTAAGCACAGGGTTGCCACCTCATCCCTTTAAAACAGAACATATATTATTTTCACAGGTTCTGTGGCAGATGAAGTTGGTAATTAAACTCACTGAGTGCCTTAACTGGATTAAATTAGCCTCAGAACCTGTGTAAATAATATGTGTTCGGGTTTAAAGGGATGAGGTGGCAATTTTATTTTACCCCTTGGCGCCAGCGCCTCCCAGCCCTTTAAGGGTTTCAGAAGCCGGGAGGCGGGGTTTTAGGGTCATGTAACCTATGTGATGTCACGGCGTCCACATGATTCGGAAAGGTCCCGATCGAAAGAGGAGATCGGGACCTTTCCATGAGTACCGGACATGTGTGCTGGGAGTCCGCAGGGCGCGCGCTCTCAGCACATATGTTTTTTTTTAAATTGCACACAAATGTGCTGCCACTCAGCGTCTAGGCCCAGACGCCGGAAGGCCGCACATTTGGGTGCGGCCGGCGTGAAGAGGCTAAGTAGCCCATTCAAAATAAATGGGCACCAAATCACCTCAATGTATTAAACAAATAGATGTAATCTGCATTTTTTCACAATGCAGCACACAAGACACTGGTGATTTTATACTAAAGCTAAAGTGCAAAACCTGGTGTTTTATTCTCAACTCTTAATTGAACAAGCTGAAGTTAGAATCTGATTGACGACAATGCAAAGCTTCACCAAATTCTGAGTGTGCCAGTTTTAATAAATCTGCCTCACTGGGGGTTATTTACTAAAACTGAAGAGTGCAAAATCTGGTGCAACTCTGCATATTGTCAAAGATTAATTGAACAAGCTGAAGTTAGAAGCTGATTGGCTACCATGCCCAGCTTCACCAGAATCTGAGTGGTCCAGTTTTAGCAAATCTGCCCCGCTGTGTATTGTGCTGTGGAGCAGCACAGGTATATTTAAAATGTGATGGCCAATCACTGGCGAGGAGGCGGAGCCGAGCGGCCCTGCAAAAATCGAGTGAGGGAGCGGCGGGTAAGTGTGCCGTGCAGATGGTGCTGCTGCAACCACGTATGCTGGCTGCAGCAGCACCATGCTGGAACAGGGGTCAGCAAGTGTCATTGGTGTCAGTGGGAGGAATAGTGCCCGATCATTGGTGTCACTGATACTAATGATGGGACATTATTTCTCCCACTGACACCAACGATGAGGCACTATTCTTCCCCCCACTGACACCAACGATGGGGCACTATTCTTCCCCCCCCCACTGACACCAACGATGGGGCACTATTCCCCCCCCCACACTGACACCAACGATGGGGAACTATTCCACCCCCCACTGACACCAATGATGGAACACTATTCCTTCCCCCACTGACACCAATGATGGGGTACTATTCCTCCCACTGACACCAATGTTGGGACAGTATTCCTCCCACTGACACCAATGATGGGGCACGATTCCTCCCACTGACACCAAAGATGGGGCACTATTCCCCCCACTGATACCAATGATGGGGCACTATTCCTCCCACTGATACCAATGATGGGGCACTATTCCTGCCACTGATACCAATGATGAGGCACAATTCCTCCCACTGACACCAATGATGGGGTGCTATTCCTCCCACTGACACCAATGATGGGGTGCTATTCCTCCCACTGACACCAATGATGGGGTGCTATTCCTCCCACTGACACCAATGATGGGGCACGATTCCTCGCTCTGACACCAATGATGGGGCACTATTCCTCCCACTGACACCAATGATGGGGCACTATTCCTCCCACTGACACCAATGATGGGACACTATTCCTCCCACTGACACCAATGATGGGGCACGATTCTTCCCACTGACACCAATGATGGGGCACTATTTCTCCCAATGACACTGATGGAGTACTATTCCTCCCACTGACACTAATGATGGGACACTATTCCTCACACACTAATACTAATGATGGGGCACCATCATTGGTGTCAGTGGGAGGAATAGTGTCCCATCATTGGTGTCAGTGGGAGGAATAGTGCCCCATCATTGGTGTCAGAGCGAGGAATCGTGCCCCATCATTGGTGTCAGTGGGAGGAATAGCACCCCATCATTGGAATACCATACTAAAATACCATACCACATTGAAATCAAATCTGATGTTTTTTAATATTTATTTGGTGTGCGTTGGAAGAGTGGTAGTCTTATACGGCGAGTATAGCTCAAACCCTATATTTTAACAGGAAAATGTACTATTCCTCCCACTGACACTAATGATGGGACACTATTCCTCACACACTAATACTAATGATGGGGCACCATCATTGGTGTTCAGTGGGAGGAATAGTGTCCCATCATTGGTGTCAGTGGGAGGAATAGTGCCCCATCATTGGTGTCAGAGCGAGGAATCGTGCCCCATCATTGGTGTCAGTGGGAGGAATAGCACCCCATCATTGGAATACCATACTAAAATACCATACCACATTGAAATCAAATCTGATGTTTTTTAATATTTATTTGGTGTGCGTTGGAAGAGTGGTAGTCTTATACGGCGAGTATAGCTCAAACCCTATATTTTAACAGGAAAAGTAGGGGGTCGTCTTATACGCCCAGTCGTCTTATACGCCAGAAAATACGGTAATGTGTGTTACCTGAAGTTGCAATAACATGCATGCTTACCACACATTACTGTAGTGTAATTGGTGTAAATGGGCCCTTACTATTTTTTGCGCAGTTAGTTTTATTTATTGGAAAAAAAATTAGGGAACACTAAACCAGGACAAAATCGGAAATTAATAAAAAATGTACATTGGGCTCTTACAGTGTTATGATGTTTTACTGGCTCATGATTACATTAATAACTGAATTGTGAAATTCATAATACAGTTTAGATTAAAAATGTTTTCTGTATTGATTCACCGCATTTAATGTTCACATTTTCTTAGCATTTAGAATGTTGTATGTCTCAAAAACAAATTTCCCTTGCAAACACAATATGATGATTATTACATGTCACTGTTTTAATATACAGCTCACACAGGATACATTTCATATCTTTAAGATGTAAGACTTCAAATGCAAAGCATTCTTGAACCACTCCTTAGCAAAAAGCATTTATTATTCAGAACAGTAAAAATAATTGATTCTATGTCAACAGCAAAAATGTCTTGTGATCTGTCAAATAAGAAGGCTGCTGCTGAATATTTATTTGTGAATACAGCTATCCCCAAACATAGAAACAACTTGTACATGATGTCTAATTTTCTATTTCTATTTTTTCCACTGTATCTGCTGTTCTTCTTCTGTTCTTTGTATAGAAGTTGAAATGTTCTTTACACAGAAGTTGAACTATTCTAAAAATTATCTTTTGCAGTTTTAATTTAGCTTTAAAATATATGCTTTCTGTCTGTCAATGTCTATTTTGTGTTTACTTAAAGGGGACAATTCACTAAAGGTTATTGCATGCGTTATGTTGGTCAATTGACCACATATCACATGCGATACTGAAAATGTCAATTCACTATTGCTAGTATGCGGTACAGCAAAAACATTTAATAAATACCACAAAAAAAGACATAAAGTCAATTCACAGAAGGAAATGAATAATTAAATGCATGTCATAATTAAATAGTGTTCAAGGCATGTGGTATGTATTGGTTTTTAAGGAGCAGGCGGCTGCAGCGTCCTTAACAACTGATGAGTCATCAGCTGTCAGTGGGGTGAATGTAAAAAAAAGAATTGTCAGCAATTAAAAATTAATTCAAATAAGGTGTGGGGTCCCCCCCATCCATAGCAAAACCGAAGGGCTTTTTGAGGGGAACCCCCACACCAAAATAAAATAAAAGGCGTGGGTTTCCCCCCAATATCCATACCAAACCCTTATTCAAGCATGTAACCCGGCAGGCCAAGAAAGGGGGGACAAGCGAGCACCTCCCCCGAACCATACCAGGCCACATGCCCTCAACATGGGGGAACTTTTTGGGGCAGGGGGGCTCTGCCCCCCAAAAGTACCTTGTCCTCATGTTGATGGGGACAATAAACTTCCCCACAACCCTGGCCGGTGGTTGTGGGGGTCTGCAGGTGACGGGCTTATCAGAATCTAGAAGCCCCCTTTAACAAGGCTAACAAGGCCTCCAGATCCCGGTCTCCCTCATTTGTGAATGAGTATGGGGTACATGGAACCCCTACTCATTCACCAAAAAAAAATGTAGTGTAAAAAAACACAGTTGACAGTTGTTGACACGTCCTTTATTGAAAAAAACAAAATAAAAATGTGTCCCCCAGTGTAGATCCATCATCAATCACAATGCCCACCGCCACCGCTGACCCAGAAAAAGAATTTTAAAAAAGTCTCCGCTTTCAATGAAGGCTCCCACCATCTTACAGCTCAGCTGCTTGACAATTGTTAAATAATTAAGGGGCAGGCCACCCAGTGATGTCACCGGGTGACCCCCACCACCTTGGGACATCACCGACCAGGGCATGCTGGGTCAATGATGTCACAAGGGGGTGGGGTCATCCGTAAACATCACCAGGTGATCCCGCCCCTTAGTTCTTTAAGAATTCAAGTGGCAGAGCTGTCAGCTGGCAGGCGCCTTCGTAGAAAACATTTTTTTTATTCGGGCCGGCATTGGTGGCGGGCATCGTAATTGATGATTACAACGAGGTATTGTTCTTTATTTTTGTTTTTTTAATAAAGGACTTTTCAAAAACTGCCACCTGTGTTTTTTTGCAGTACCCTTTTTTTGTGGTGAATGAGTAGGGCTACCATGTACCCCATACTTATTCACATAGAGGGGCTAGGATATGGGGGCCTCCTTGTTGAAGGGCTTCCAGATTCTGATAAGTCCCTCACCCACAGACCCCCACAACCACCAGCCAGGATTGTGGGGAAGAGTCCCTTGTCCCCATTAGCATGACAACAAGAATTTAAAAGGACATTTGACATGGTGGGATTTTTAAGTCACAGTACAACCATTCTCATAAAATATACATTTTATTGGAACATACACAATAAAATTATTTTTGACATCAAATTGTATATCTAAAATCACAACTGCCTTTAAAGCTACAGCTCAAGATACAAATCGCAAATTGCAAGTTCAAATTTTCTGAAATTTCAATGTGTTTCTTGGATTTTATCCACTTCATCAGGAACCAGAGATGATTAGCACTAAATATGAAAAGACATGCATTACACATGTGTTATGGATTTCCATTTACCTGAATTCATCCAAAAGACAACAAAGCCTAAAAGGAGTAGTCAATGCCAAAGGTTTGAGACAGGAAACAAATATGGGTGTTGAAATTCTGCTTAGATGATTGCTGAGGGGCACTGAACAACCATATTGGTAGACTATCCCATGCGCTTGATTAAATGGAAAGGCTATATGCTTTTGGAGTATCTGCAATGTAAAATAACAGTGAATGCTCTCTTTTTTTCATAGTTATATAATGAAAGTGTCCCAAATATCTACATACAGTATATATAAACATGCACACATTCACACAATTATCCTGTAAGGAGTGTATGAATGTATGCAAATATGTATGCGTGTTTGCTATATAAATATACCCAGGCCAGTTTTTACATGTACTTTTAATATATCTACTAAATAACCTTATCGGTCTATCCAGAATTATTGCCTTAAGATTACTAGAGGACAGAATTCCGAAAGAACATACAGGTATTAACTACTCTATTTCATTTATACGAGGCCTAAAATCATTACACAGGCTTAAACAGAGCCACATTAGCAAAGAAAACTTCACATACCACATAGGCCTCACACTTGTTGTGCCCATAGTTTAACTGCAAAAATGTTTCCAGAAACCTGCACTAGGCTCGCTTCCAAAGTGGTTGATCATCATCCAAACTTGCATCATGATGGTGCACCTGTGAGCACCAGTGGTGTCCCAGAGAAACCAAAATGGCAGTCAAGGCATCTTGATTAAGTACACATGCGCGTTTCCCAAAACGGCTGATTCTAGTCCCAGCAGTCTGGGCGCCTGAGGTGCACACGCACCACACCAAACAGGCGCATATGCACAGCACACTGCCCATAGTAAGGCGGTACACAGCCTCAGCAGGCAGCGTCCTACTAGTCTGGTAAAGACATTCAGCTCCGGCACAAATATCCGACACCCCCAAAAGAGTTCCTACTATAAGTGGATAAAATTTGGGATACATTAACATCTGGTGGAACACAATAATATGTAACAATAAATTTAAAATTTTATTTTACATAACATTCCATTGTTCCAGCTTTTATAGGGCACTATCAATACAATATAAATATCAGAGTTCCAAATTGCCAATATAACTGATGAACAGGTTACTATCAATATACCCATTATGAACCTCAATAACACGTCCAAGGGATCAATTATCCAATTTACGCCAGTGATTTTTGCCCTAGATCGGATGATCGATCCCTGTCCAATCAGGGAATCTTCTCTCTTTGGGCACATTCCGTCCCAGAGAGGGAAGAATCAAGACACAATAAGTACAAGCAGCACACTTGCACACAGTTAGAACACTTTAGGACACATTTAACCCCTTGATCGCCCCCCACCCAGTTAACCACTTTACTGCCCTGTCACCTGTGTCATTAGTACAGTGTACAGATTTTTTGATGATCATTGTATTAGTGTCGCCCGTGAATTCAGATAGCGTTAGCATAAGTTAGCGTCCCTCCCAGAGAGCGTCAGATTGCCCATCAGTTGATTGCCAGGAACACGCTCACATACACAATAAACCTCCATTGCTAGTATAATGTCTGAACGGATCAATATCTTTGATCAGATCAGCACTATACCAGCGTTCACATTAGCATAGTGTCCCCAAAAACGCAGCATTAGCAGCAACTGTGTTAAGCCCCTACGCTTACCCCCCCCTCCCCCAGCAAGTACGGTGTTAGTAGGTCACTGTCACTTGATACATTGCACACAAAACTGCAGTGTTCGCAGAATCAGGCCTGATCTCTGTTAGCACTTGCTGGTAAATTGTTTTGTAGCAGTTCAAGCAGTCCCTGACAGCCAGGTGCTCTTTTTCCTGTGAGTCGCAGTAGGTACCTATAAATTTAGTGACCAAAATGTCAATGGAAAGGTACTCTAGTGAAGAGGCCTACAGGATTCTGAGCATGTCAGGTGAGAGAGAAAGGGGAAGACTCCCTGACACAATCAACCTTTAGAATATGAACCTGAAGAAAGAAACGGCACCCTGACAGATAGGTCAGATGATGGAGAAGAGGTTCCTGCTAAGGTTAGGCATACCCGACCCTGTTCCCAGGTTGCTGAGATGTTACAATCGCTACTATGAGTGTTTAACCCTCTGTGTAACCTGTCTGTGGAGATAGCGGTATACCGACGATTAACCAATCATCGTAGTGTATTGCTGAGTTTCCCTTTTCTCTGTTCAAAAAGGAGGTGGTGGCAGTGTGAAGGGTTAATTGCG